TTTTCAACTGTCTGTTCCAGAAATTTTCAAGCATAAGGAAGAAGAACAGAACCATGACATTGCATGTACAATGTCTTGATTAAACTTTTATTAACATTTTGCCATATTTACTTTAAATAGAAGGTTTTATATATGAAGCACTTTAAGTTGTAAACTCTTCACTCCTAAGTACCTCAGTATTCAGTATGCATCTCCTAAGAAGGTTATTCTTCTATATAATGATTCCATTATCATACCTAAGAAAATGAATAATAATTTGCTAATATCATCTAATTTAAATTACATATTCAAATTCTCCCAATATGAATTTTTAAAATGGATACTTTAGAACCAGGATCCAATCAGAGTAAATGCATTGCATTATTTTTCATTATGGTTTTTAATCTTTTTCTAAAACAATCCCCTTACTTTTTTCTTTTAAATTACATTGGTATTTGATTTGTCATGTAGAATGTCTCATCTTCTGATTTGCCTAATAATTTCCTTGTGGTGTCATTAGACTTTTTTTTAAATATAGTTTTTTCCCTATAAGCTGGAAATTAACTTTAAAGGCTTGATTACATTTGGTTAACAATTTTAGTAGCAGGCTCATATTTTTTTCGTTAGCAGACAAACGCCATGCCTTATTCCCTTAACAGTTTGCCCTTTGAATTTCAACAATTTCTCTTCTCTTTTTCTATCAAATAGCTTAGCTTTGGCAACTTTTTTTGTTATTGTTGTTCCTACAGCTATGACTATTGCATGATTTCATCAACCCATTTGGGAGTCTGTCTTTTTGTATTTCAGTACAACAATCTTCATTCTCCCTGCAGCAATGAACAAGTCTCTTGGGGAGAGACGGAGAACAAGGAAATGCAAATGAGAAAAGCATCTTGATTCCAGTTTAAGGATGACTGTGCCATACCTTTAAAGAAGCTGTGAAAAAAAAAAAAAAAAAAAAAAAAAAAAAAATAAAGAAGCTGTGGAGGATGAAGCTTCTGGAACAGGTGAGAAGTAAGAAGGAAGCAGAAGTCTTGCCCCCAAAGGTCTGGCTCCACAGAACTGGAGGGGCACACTGTGTAGGGTCCCAGACTTCACTCTGGGATCTGTGTCATGTTGAAATATGGGACCTTTTTCAACACCAGGTCCCAAGGATCCTTTAGTAGCCATTCACACTTTTTTCACAGCACCATCATCCTTAGCATTAAAAAAATTATTTATTTATTTTGGCTGTGCCGAGTCTTTGTTGCTGCATGGGCTTTTCTCTAGCTGCAAAGATCAGGGGCTTCTCTCCAGCTGCGGTGCGCAGGCTTCTCATTGTGGTGACTTCTCTTGTTGTGGAGCACCAGCTCTAAGGCACGTCGGCTTCCGTAGTTGTGCCTCCCAGCTTTTAAAGCACAGGCTCAATAACTGTGCAGGGGTTTAGTTTTGGGAATCTTCCCAGACCAGGGATCACACTCTTCTCCTTGGTTTGGCAGGTAGATTCTTTGCCACTGAGCTTCCAGGGAAGCCCCATCCTTAGCGTTGTTTTTCTGTTGACTTTGATCTCAGAGATTCATAGAAGGATCAATTAACTGTGAAATTCACCTTGATTCTGAATAGAGTCTTATAAATAGTTTCTAGCCTGATGTGACTTTTCCAATAGTTTTGTAAAATCGATAGGGAATAGACCACTTGTTTCATTACAGAGAAAAAAGAATCAATCTTGAACTTTTTTTTTTTTCATTACAATAAATGTTTATTGAACACTTACTGTAAACAGGAGTTGTATTATACAAAGTTAGCTTGAGCCTACGTATTTCTAATAGTGTGGAAGACGACACAAACAGATACCTTTCCTTTAAATGTCAGAGATAAGTACAAAGTGTCAAGGGGTCAAAAATGAAGGGCATATCTCAGTCTTCCTGGAGGAGATGAGGCTGAGCTAAGCCTTGAAGGATGAGCAAAAGCCAGATGCCAAGTGGTGAGAGGAGCCCTCTTGGCTTATTTGCTGTGGTATTTCTAGCACCTAGCACATGGTAGACATTCAATCCAGAGCATTTATAAAAGAAATCTCAGCAGAGGAAATGTTATAAACACACACACACACACACAAAGCATGGGAAACTATAAATAAATCAGAATTACCAGAAGATTAATCCTTACCCTTTATGGGGTCACAAACCCCTTTGAAAAACTAATGCAAACCATGGATCTACTCCCTAGTAAAATAAATGTACAGTCAAAAATTTATGGATAATTTTAGAAGATACAGATATTAAGAATCTTAGTTGTAGAAAAAAAGAAAAGAAAAAAAAGAATCTCTGTGGTAGGGAATTGGTAGCATTAACATTTTTAACAACATGTATTTATTTTATTTTGTTTTGCTGTGAACTAGGAAATGACATAACTGAAGATTTACTTTGGATGCATCATGAGGGGTTGGAGAATTCTTTTTTTTTTTTTTTTGCTAAAATCTTTTTTATTTAGCAATCATCTTTATTTGCTGATGTGTGCTTCTTTTAGAGTTATGGTAAGTTATGATTGGATGTCATTTAAAATGACCTCTCTTACCTCAAAGAAAGTTTAAAGAGGGGTCGGGGGTTGGAGAATTCTATGGACAAAGGAGTCTGGCGGGCTCTAGTCCATGGGGTCACAAAGAGTCGCACATGACTAAGCAACTATCACTTACTCACTCATTCATCATGAAGGGTAGGGTAGGGCTTCCCAGGCGGCTCAGTGGTAAAGACTGTGCCTGCAATGCAGGAGATGGGGGTTATGTGGGTTTGATCCCTTGGTCAGGAAGATCCCCTGGAGAAGGAAATGGCAACCCACTGCAGTGTTCTTGCTTGGGAGATCCCATGGACAGAGGAGCCTGGCAGGTTACAGTTCATAGGGTTGTAAAGAGTCGGAGATGACTGAACACGCACCCACCGCCACATCATGACAGATTGGGTTAGGGAGCAAGAAATCTGAAAACCAGGGAGGTGAGATAAAAGAAAAGTATGTCCAGGGTCACTTGGAGCAGTGTTTCTCAAACTTCAATATGCATACGAAGCACTAGAGTGCAATGGACTGAATCTTAGTGTTCCCTTAAAATTCCTATGTTGAAATCTTAACCCCGAGATGATGATATTAGGTGACCTTCAGAGTTGCTTAGGCCTTGAGTGTGACGCCCTCATGAATGGAGTTAATGCCCCCATAGAAGAGATTATAGTAGAGTTCCCTAACCCCTTCTAGTGTCAGGATACAGCACAAAGACAACTGTCTATGAACCAGGAAGAAGGCTCCACCAGACAACAAATCTGCTAGTACCTTGACTTGGACTTCCCGGCCTCCAAATCTCTGAGTGATGAATTTCTGTTGTTTATAAGACACTCAGTCTATGGTACTTTATTATAACAGTCTGAATGGACTATGACACTATCATCTTTCTATTTAAAATTAAAAAAATTTTTTTCTTTTGAAGTGGACCATTTTTAAAGTCCTTATTGAGTTTGTTACATCACTGCTTCTGTTTTATGTTTTTGTTTTTTGAATGCAAGTTATGTGGGGTCCTAGCTCTCTGATCAGGGATCAAACCTGCATTCCTGCATTGGAAGGTAAAGTCTTTATTAACAATTGGACTTCCAGGGAAGTCCCACTATGTACATTTTTTAAATGCAAATTCTGATTCAGTAGAACTAGGATGGGACTTGAGATTCAGCACTTCTAACAAGTCCCCAATATCACAAGGTGACATTGCTGCTGCTGGTCCAGAGATCAAACTTGGAGGAGTAAGGTCCTAGAGAACCCGTAGGAGGCAGTGGTCTGTCCTCGGCTCTGCAAACCCAGAGTAGTGTAGTCTAAACCTCTCATCTGTAGTTTTGAAATTCAGATGATCTGAAAACCAAAAGTACTTCTGTAATTTCTTTGGAGGCAAACTGGAGCTCACGTGAGACTATGTATAATCCTATTTCCTATTTTGTATGAATATTCATGTTTTCATTCTAAAAATGTGTTTTCATTCTAAAAATGTGTTCAATGTGTTTGATTATGGGAAGCTGCTTTAGACTCTGTTGGGGTTGTGATGTTATATGAGGTACATGACTGTACTAGAATATAAAAATTCCAAATTTTGGGAAATGTAAATTGGCACAGCCACTATGGAAAACAGGATGGAGGTTCTTTAAAAAACTAAAAATAGAATTGCCATATGATCCAACAATCCCATTTCTGGGTGTGTATCTGGAGGGAACTCTAATTTGAAAAGATACATGCACCCCAATGTTCATAGCAGTGCTATTCACAATAGCCAAGACGTGGAAGCAAGTTAAATGTCCATTGACAGATGAAAGGATAAAGAAGACATGGAATATATTTACAATGGAATACTACTTAGCTGTAAAAAGATGAAATAATGTCATTTGCAGTAACATAGATGGACCTAGAGAGTATCATATTAAATGAAATGTCAGACAGAGAAAGACAAATATTATGTTATCACCTATATGTAGAATCTAAAATGATATAAATGAACTTATTTATGAAATAGAATCAGACTCATAGACATAGAAAACAAACTTATGGTTACTACAGGGGAAAGGGGGGCAGGGGTAAATTAGGAGTTTGAGATTAACAAATGCAAAATACTATATATAAAATAAATAGCAACATCCTACTGTATAGCACAGGGAAATATATTCAACATCCTGTAATAAACCATAATGGAAAAGAATATGAAAGAGAATATATGTATGTATGTATAACTGATTTACTTTGCTATACACTGGAGGCTAACACTATAGGTAAACTATACTTCAGTAAAAGCAGACTCCAGAAAGTTCCAAAAAGAAAAAAATATTCCAAATTCTGAAACATCTCTGACTTGGAGTTTGCGGCAATCTGAGGGATGCTTTCCCCACCCATTCCATAATCTTCCTTCTCCTGGGAATGGTTCTCCATTTCACAGAGCTGGGCCTGACCTGTCCTCCTGCTCCCAGCTCCCCCTACCAGTCACAGATAATTTGATCAGGGTGGATACCTGACTCAGATTGGGCCAACTGGATTCTGTCTGTGGGCATTTAGAACTGGCACTCACCAGAGCTTGCCTCATTTGGTTACTGGCACGGAGGCAGGTAAGAGGTAGCCTTTTTCAGCTGCATGTCTGAGAAGCAGAAAAAGCTAACCTGTAGAGAGGAAAGTGATATAGGTGTGGGACAGGAACAAGGTCCATGATGCCTTGCAGCGTGAGAAAAAGGGGGGTAGCTTTTTCCTCTGGGAATGCAGACGTCTGGGATGCAGATGATGAGCAAGGGCAGCAGATTCAGGCCTCGGTGCTTTCTGGTTTCTGGTTCTAGTCCTAATTGCCCTTTCTGCCCTTGAGTTCTCTGACACCCCATTACCATCTTGTAGTAAATTCCTACTTGTGTTAATGCTACCTAAAGTGGGTTTCATTGAATTGCATTAACTAAGACACTAACAGAATTATTTTTTAGTGCAGTAAAAAATTGTTTTAAACTCTGAGAACGGACCTGCAAATCAAATTCCCAAGAGAAGGTTGATTTATTTATTTCCATGCAGACTGACTGCCAATGGAACCAGAATCCTCCCACTTACAGGTCAGCCGGTTCTCTCCTGGTGGGAAAATCTACACGGAAAGCCACATTCTAATGAGGAGGCAGCTTGATGAGTGCAGGCAGAGCCAGATAATTAGGGGATCTGAGAGGGCTGTCTGCATGAGAGGATGGTTGGAGGCACTTTCCCCATAGGTCCAGGATGTGCTGAACCTGCCATATAGTGTACATGAGTGAGTGTGCTAGGGCATGCTTGGAAAACAGACCAACTCACAAAAACCAGTTCACCCATAAGTCAGGTCAGCATATGAGCCATTAACCTAGAATGAGTATTTGTTAAAAAACATTTCATGTGTGATGGAATGGTTTCCACAGCTTTCTGAGTATTTTCCCCCTAAGATGACTGGTAACTCTTTTATGTTGTACAGTTCTGTTCCATCTTTTTTCCTTTCCTTTTCCCTTTTTCTTCCCCTTCCTCCTTCCTTCCTTTCTCCTTTTCTCCCCACCTCCCTCCTCCTTCCTTTTTTTTCCTACCCCTATTTCAAAGATAATTTTGCCTAGTGGTTGAAGATTGCCCACCTTCTCACCTCTATCCTCTCCCTCCCACATCAACCCTGTCCCCATCATCTTCTAGAGCCTGAGACTTGGAGATTGGGTCTTCAGGGGTGAGCTAGTTAAGACCAGGAATAGTGTCCAGTGGAGAAAATGGGTGGATGATGAGAATGATGGGTGGGGATTTTGGAGGAGGAGGAGCTGAAGGGCAAGAATTAGACCCTCCAGGTGACTTGAAACACCAAGATCAAAGCAGCAGGTGCAGGATCCGACAAGAAGAAATCAAACCAGGAGTTGAGGATGGGACAAGACACCGGACTGAAGGGAGAACAGTCTGAAAGCCAGTGAGGAGATAATAACAGTTGTTCTGTATTTCCATTGCCCATGAACTATTTTAGAGTCTTCTATTTCTTTAAAATTATACTATGTATCTTTTGGAAAATTTTGTGCAATGTTAAATTTACATAAATCTGGAATTGCTCAACTAAGGGAGTGTTTTACTTATGATTCATCGTCTTGGTCCCTTTTTAAAAACTTCTCCTTCCTCCTGTTTGTTGTCTGTTTCTCAGACATTTGTGTACTAGAGTTCATTATTAAGGAAATTATCCCAAACTCAATGTTTATTGCTCTGTAGTGAGACATTTCTGTGTTGATAGGGAGAGTGGAAAGATGAGACAAATTCATCAGAAACATATTAAGCTCTACTGCAGTTTCTGACATCTAAATGATGAAGTCATGTTACTGGACTACAAATATTACCTCACGCATTATTTTAAAAGCTTTAAGGAAAAAACTGAGTTTTAACCAAGACAATTTGTTTTGACCATAAACACGGTATATATTTGTATCTGTTTCCTGTTGGCTGCTGTAATTACCATCACTTAGTGGCTTAAGATAACGCATATTTATTATCTTACAGTTCTAGAGGTCAAAAGTCCTAAAATCAAGGTGTAAGAGACTTCCCTGGGGGTCCAGTGGTTAGGACTCACGCTTTCACTCCATGGAGCATGGGTATAATCCCTGGTTGGGGAACTAAGATCCTGCATGCCACGCAGTATGGCCAAAAAAAGAATAATACTTAGAAATAAGTTTAACAATGTGCAAAACATAAAAATAAAATAAAATCAAGGTGCTAATGGAACTGTGTTTCTCATGGAAGCTCTCAGGCAAAATCTATTTCCTTACCTTTTCCAGCTTCCGGAAGTGGCTTGCACTCTTTGGCTCATAGTCCCTCCCTCTGTCTCCAATGCCAGCAGTGAAAAATCTTCGAATCTCTCTGGCCTCAGCCTCTGCTACTGTTATCCTATCTTTCTTTTTCTAACACTCCTGACTTCCTCTTATTAAGACCTATGTGATTATATTGGACCAGATAATCCAAGATAATCTCTCAATCTTGAGATCCTTAATTTAATGACATCTACAATGTCCTTTTTACTGGGTAAAGTAACATGTTCACTGTCTCTGTGGATAAGGATATGGATATTTTTGGGGAGTCTACAATAATACTCATTTATCCTATTTGGCCTACCATAATAATCACTCATAGGTATTAATAAAATACAGTTCATAAAAGTAGAAAGAAAAATATAATTCATGGTTCGACTACTGAAAGGTAGACATAATGAATGTTCATTCCATCTTTTTAAAATGAACAGTTTTACATAATTATGATTATACAATGTATATGTATGTACACAATTTGAAACTGGTTTTTCACAAAATATTATATCATAGTACATTTTCCATATTAGTATACAGCCTGACCAAATAGCTTTATTGACTGCATGGTATTCCATTGAATGAATATACCATATTTCACTTAAGCCTTTTCTTGTTGTTTTAATTTTAAGTTGTTTTTAATTTTTAAATATTATAAATATCTCTGTGACAAGTATTTTTGCCTTAAAGATTTTTTGCTTCTGTTTTCCCTTAGGGATAGATTCCAGACATGGAGTTACTTTATCAAAGTCTTTTTACAGCAAATGTTTTTCCAAGAGTTTATATAAATTTTCAGAACCATCAAGATATATGGTAGTACCCATTTTACTACATTCTCACCAGCACCAAATAAAACAGCAATCACAAAAATAACTTTGCCAATCAGGTAGGTAGAATAGATAACTTCTTTTTGTTTTAATTTGCATTCATTTGTTTACAAAGGAGAGTGAACATTTTCTCATGGGATCATTTGCTAGTTATAGTTCTTTGATGAATTATTGATTCATGCCTTTTACATTTGGGAGCCAAAATAGTTTTTAAATTAATTTGTCTAATAGCTATACATTTAAAAATTTATTTAATATTTGTGATATTTGCTATATTTTCTCTTGTCTCTCATTTATATCTTTTATGTCTAGAAGTTTTAAATTTGTACATTGTCTAATCTATTCATCTTTTCTCCCCTCTGTTTCTTTGTTACTTTAAAAATCCTCCTCTTCCTGCAGCAACATGGATGGACCCTAGAAATTACCATACTAAGTGAAGTAAGTCAGACAGAGAAAGATGAATATCATAGGATATCACTTATATGTGGAATTAAAAAAGATACAAATGAACTTATTTACAAAATGGAAAGAGACTCACATACATAGAAAACAAACTTATGGTCATCAAAGGGGAAAAGTAGGGGAGGGATAAATTAGGAGTATGGGATTAACAGATACATACTACTAAATATAAAATAGATACAAAATAAGGACCTACTGTATAGCACAAAGAACTATACTCAATACTTTGTAACAACCTATAAGGGAAAAGAATCTGAAAAAGAATATTTAAATATGTGTAAATTGAATGTGCTGTATAATTGAAACTGACATGATATTGTAAATCAAATATACTTCAATTAAAAAAAAAACTAGGCTAGGTTATTCTAAGAGACTGGCAAGGGCCAGTCAGGTCAACCTCTAATTTTTAAAATTAATTAATTAATTTTTGTCTGTGTCTTTGCTCTTGCGTGGGCTTTTCTCTAGTTGCGGTGAGCGGGGGCTGCTCTTAGTCGCAGTGTGTGGGCTTCTCGCTGCGGTGGCTTCCCTAGTTGCAGAGCCCTGGCTCTAGGCCTTCAGGCTTCAGAGATTGTGGCACATGGGCTCAGTAGTTGCAGCTCCCCGGCTCTAGAGCACAGGCTCAACAGCTGTAGTACACAGGCTTAGTTGCTCTGTGGCATGTGGCATCCTTCTGAATCAGGGACCAAACTCGTGTCTCCTGCATTGACAGGCAGATTCTTTACCACTGAGCCACCAAGGAAGCCCTGGATCAACCTCTAATTTGAGCCTAAATGCCAATCTATAAATTGGTGGCCTGACTCTATACATGAAGGAAGGAGAGTAAAATGTGTCCTGGGGTGAGCATCTGGAAACAGAGTCAAGCCTTACTTTAAAATTAAATATTGTTTTTTTTTTTTGATAATTAAAAAAAATATTTCTATTGGAGTATTTTTTCTTTATGACATTGTGTTAGTTTCTGATGTACAGCAAAGTGAATCTGTTTCTATCTATGCAAATCCCCTCTTTTTTTAGTAAATATTGTTATTTTTATTTCAATGAGTTCAAATATACTTTTATCATTTTTAAAATCCTCCTGTCCCAATGGTTAACTGTGTAGTACATTTAATATTCTTCTTGTTTTTCTTATGGTTTTTAAAATGTCTCCTTAATCCATCTGGAATTTATGTTGGTATGAAATCTATGGAGAGGATCTCACTACCTGCTAAATGTTACCCATAGGAGGGACCTGATTTGCACTTTTTGAGCTCTTTGCACTGAGCCATCTGCCTTTTCTCTGTTCACTGAAACGAAAGGAGAGTGGTGACAGAATGGTGTGAAATTCTACATTGGTTTTCCTAGTGATAGGGAATAACCTCCCTGTTTTGATTTTTCTTCAAATATTCTCACCTTCTGATTAGTATTTAAGCTTAAAATTGAGACAAGAAGCTTTAGATGAACTATCTAAAATATTTTTTTTTTTTGATAATTAAAAAAAATATTTCTATTGGAGTATTTTTTCTTTATGACATTGTGTTAGTTTCTGATGTACAGCAAAGTGAATCTGTTTCTATCTATGCAAATCCCCTCTTTTTTTAGTAAATATTGTTATTTTTATTTCAATGAGTTCAAATATACTTTTATCATTTTTAAAATCCTCCTGTCCCAATGGTTAACTGTGTAGTACATTTAATATTCTTCTTGTTTTTCTTATGGTTTTTAAAATGTCTCCTTAATCCATCTGGAATTTATGTTGGTATGAAATCTATGGAGAGGATCTCACTACCTGCTAAATGTTACCCAAAGGAGGGACCTGATTTGCACCTTTTGAGCTCTTTGCACTGAGCCATCTGCCTTTTCTCTGTTCACTGAAACAAAAGGAGAGTGGTGACAGAATGGTGTGAAATTCTACATTGGTTTTCCTAGTGATAGGGAATAACCTCCCTGTTTTCTGAATGTGTTGATTTTTCTTCAAATATTCTCACCTTCTGATTAGTATTTAAGCTTAAAATTGAGACAAGAAGCTTTAGATGAACTATCTAAAATATCCTGAAAGTACTCAAAAGTGGGAAAATAGAAAAAAAAAGTCAATCTTTTGAAAAAGCACTGGAAACCATTCTATCAGACATGAAATATTGTAAATATAAATTCTAGATGAGCTAGTTTAGGTAAGTTAAGCCAGAACTGACACTCTTTCCTCTGGACAATAATTAGACCAGCACCATCCAGTGGAAATAAAATGTGGGCCACATGTGGAGTTTAAAGTTTTCCAGCAGCAACATTAGAAAGGTAAAATGTAGCAGGTGAAATTAATCTAAATAATGTATTTTATCTAACCCAATATATCTGAAATGTCATCATTTCAACACATAGTCTATGTTAAAATTCTTGAGGTAGCTTATACTCTTTCTTCCCCCCATACTAAGTCTTTGAAGTCCAGTGGTATGTTTCACTTACAGCACATCTCATGAATGTGGATTCACCTCATTCCAGATACTCAATAGCTGTGGGACTAGTGGCCGTTTTATTGGATAGACCAGCTCTGGACACAGTGACACATTTTGGCTGCTGGACTTTTCCCCTACACTCCATGCTGAACAATCTTTAAAGAATGTCTTTTCTCAGGTCTGAATATAGCTGATTAGCTTGTGGTATCATTTGATTATCAGCTGCTCTGGTGGCTAGGTGGTAAAGCATCTGCCTGCCAATGCAGGGGACACAGGTTTGATCCCTGAGTTGGAAAGATCCCCTGGAGAAGGAAATGGCAACCCACTCCAGTGTTCTTGCCTGGAAAATCCCACGGACAGAGGACCCTGGTGAGCTACTGTCCATGGGGCTAGAAAAGAGCTGGATACAACTTAGTGACTAAGCAACAATCCTTGATTACACCCACTTTAAACATAACTCTTCTCACATACAGATGACCAATAGGAACATGAAAAGATATTCATCATTGTTAACTATTAGAGAAATGCAAATCAAAACTATGATGAGGTACCACCTCACACCAATCAGAACAACCATCATGATAACAACCATCATGATAACAACCATCATGATAAAGTCTACAAATAACAAATGCTGGAGAATGTGTGGAGAAAAGAGAATCCTCCTATACTGTTGGTGGAAATGTAAACTGATGTAGCAGCTATGGAAAACAGTACAGGGATGCCTCAAAAATTTAAAAACAGAGTTGCCATATGATCGAGCAATTCCACTCCTGGGCATATATCTGGAAAAAAAAACATAATCTTATGTATATGTGTATGTATATATATGTGTGTGTGTATATATATNATGCTGAAGCTGAAGCTCCAATACTTTGGCTACCCGAAGTGGAGAGCCGACTCGTTAGAAAAGACCCTGATGCTGGGAAAGATTGAAGGCAGGAGGAGAAGGGGGAAAAAGAGGATGAGATGGTTGGATGGCATCACCGACTCAATGGACATGAGTTTGAACAAGCTCCAGGAAATGGTGAAGCAAAGGGAAGCCTGGTGTGCTGCAGTCCATGGGGTTGCAAAGTGTCAAACATGACTGAGCGACTGAACAACAATATATATGTGTATATATATTTACACACACACAATAGAATACTACTTAGCCATAAAAAGTATGAAATAATGCCATTTGTAGCAACATGGATGGACCTAGAGATTCTCATACTAAGTGAAGTAAGTCAGAAAGAGAAAGACAAATACCATATGATATCAGGCAATTCAGGCTGATAGAGATCCAATCTTGTGTCTAGAATCACCTCACCTGGTAGAAGCAGACCTAACAAATCATGCTCTGGCTCTTGAAGCTTCCACCTCACCAGATACAAGGCACTCTGGGTCACATTTAATTCCCCAGAGCAAACCACAAGAACACACACAAGTTTCAAGGGGATAGAGAGGTACAAATCCGTCATATATCGAGCAGGAAAACCTGGCTATCTGTGAGCTTCCCTAATGCCTGGCACATCTTGGAGAAAAGGACCCATGACCAGTACATACTATTATTCTAATGTCACAGATAAAAAAACACCTGAGAGTTAAAGAAATAGTTCATGGTCACTAGCAAGTAAATGGCAGTGCTGAAGTTGTGGTTTAGGTTCTCATGACATAAAACACATGCTCTTTGTACCACATTAGTCTCCTAGGGTCACCTGCAATATTTCCAAAAAGAAGGCTAGGTTTGGGGGCATATATCACCTTGGAGTCATGCCTGGAGCTGTTTTCATGCTCCTTGCTATCTGATTTGGCACATCAAACATGTCACAGCTCCTAGTCTTTCATAGGCTTTCCTGCTTCACATCTGATGAACTCTGCTCAGAGTCAGTTCTGTGCATCCATAGTTCTGCCAAAGTGCCTACTGTGGTGGCCTGTTCCTAAGGCATACACTTTGGCCCATCATTTGTATATATAGCAGTATCACTGCTTTATGGATGTTTTCTTGCAAATATCCTCTGGTCATATTTCAGTTCAGAAGAAATTCGAAGAACATTGTTTTGGACAACCATGGAGGTCTTGATAATTTACAAATATCTTGTCTGTCTATTTTGTTTCTTGACAATGTTCTAGGGGAAGGAAACTAAAATTTCTTGGGAACTCATTGGGTGTCAGGAACTGTTCTAAGCATTTTCATAAACTTTTATTCTCATTTATTCTTCGTAACAACATTCTGAGAAAGGGGTTATGATTTATCAAAACTAAACTCTAATCAAAGAGGATGATTAATGTAAAAAAAAAAGACATTTGGTCTCAGATATCTGAATAGGAATAATAACACTTTCTTTATCTTGGCTTCCCTTAATTGCTCTCATGGGGAGTTTTTCACCCTTTGCAGTATATTTATAATTTCTCAAGGGTGTGTTTGACCATCCCTGTAGAATTGGAAATGAATATTTGGAACTTGATTGAGAGTGTATCATTTAGGACTCTCTTGGTTGCAAATAAGAAAACTCAACTTATCCTTGCTTAAACAATAAAAAGGGAATTTATTGGCTTATGCAACTAAAAAGTACAAGGATAGACAGGGCTTCAGGTATAGTTTGATCCAGAGGCTTAATACTAGATCCAAATCTCGTTCTATTTCTTGGTACTGGTTGTTCCTATATTGGCTTCATCTTCAGGCTCTAAACAGTGGAAAAGAAGGTTTTGAGCAGCCTTTTGTCCTGCATTTAAGTTCAGTAGAAAAGAGTATGTGTTTCTCTCTCGGAATCCCACAAAAGGTTTATTGTATTTCACTAACTGTGTTTAGGTCAAAGTTTATCCTGTAAACAACTACTTACTATGGGCCAGGGACTGTGATGCTATAATTGATCAGGCCTGAGTTCATGCCCATCCCTGGAATTAGGGATTAGTCACCTTGCCCTTTGAACAGGGAATTCTTGAGAGTGAGGGTGTTTTCCAGAGAGGAAAATTGGGGCACAGAAAAGAAAGTTATACGCATGCTGCATGGTGAAAACAGCTGGTACCCAGTACAAACAGTACTTTAAAACCATCCACTCCCGTTTGACCCCTTAGAATAGTCTACAGTATAAAAAGTTTTTTGTGTTATATTGAGCTTAACTCACAGTTTACTTCAAGGATAAAGACAAGTGTCCTTTAGAAGATAAACATTTATCCAATAATCACTATGAAACATGAAAACTATATTTTCTCTGAGCTGTCAGAAAGCTTAAAGCTTTATTAGTATTCAATGACAGAGACTTTCTTTTTCCAAATTCTTACTACAATTATTTATCTTATCTATTTTATTTTTAATCCAACACCTTTCTCTTACACCATGCTAGGATGATTCAGTGCTGAAAGCACATAAAAATCAAGTTCTCGTACATGATGACAACTGGATCCCTCTACTGAACCGCAGTGAGGAAACTGAGGGCCAAGATGCAAACTGAAGTCTCAGGGACAGAGAGATCTGGACAGAATCACTGGACAGGTATCAGCTGCCAACAAGAAGCATTAGAACAAATGATGCTGGGTTAATAAATTGCCTCATTCGTAAAAAAAAAAAAAAAGAGGATGATTAATGTAAAAAAAAAAGACATTTGGTCTCAGATATCTGAATAGGAATAATAACACTTTCTTTATCTTGGCTTCCCTTAATTGCTCTCATGGGGAGTTTTTCACCCTTTGCAGTATATTTATAATTTCTCAAGGGTGTGTTTGACCATCCCTGTAGAATTGGAAATGAATATTTGGAACTTGATTGAGAGTGTATCATTTAGGACTCTCTTGGTTGCAAATAAGAAAACTCAACTTATCCTTGCTTAAACAATAAAAAGGGAATTTATTGGCTTATGCAACTAAAAAGTACAAGGATAGACAGGGCTTCAGGTATAGTTTGATCCAGAGGCTTAATACTAGATCCAAATCTCGTTCTATTTCTTGGTACTGGTTGTTCCTATATTGGCTTCATCTTCAGGCTCTAAACAGTGGAAAAGAAGGTTTTGAGCAGCCTTTTGTCCTGCATTTAAGTTCAGTAGAAAAGAGTATGTGTTTCTCTCTCGGAATCCCACAAAAGGTTTATTGTATTTCACTAACTGTGTTTAGGTCAAAGTTTATCCTGTAAACAACTACTTACTATGGGCCAGGGACTGTGATGCTATAATTGATCAGGCCTGAGTTCATGCCCATCCCTGGAATTAGGGATTAGTCACCTTGCCCTTTGAACAGGGAATTCTTGAGAGTGAGGGTGTTTTCCAGAGAGGAAAATTGGGGCACAGAAAAGAAAGTTATACGCATGCTGCATGGTGAAAACAGCTGGTACCCAGTACAAACAGTACTTTAAAACCATCCACTCCCGTTTGACCCCTTAGAATAGTCTACAGTATAAAAAGGTTTTTGTGTTATATTGAGCTTAACTCACAGTTTACTTCAAGGATAAAGACAAGTGTCCTTTAGAAGATAAACATTTATCCAATAATCACTATGAAACATGAAAACTATATTTTCTCTGAGCTGTCAGAAAGCTTAAAGCTTTATTAGTATTCAATGACAGAGACTTTCTTTTTCCAAATTCTTACTACAATTATTTATCTTATCTATTTTATTTTTAATCCAACACCTTTCTCTTACATCATGCTAGGATGATTCAGTGCTGAAAGCACATAAAAATCAAGTTCTCGTACATGATGACAACTGGATCCTTCTACTGAACCGCAGTGAGGAAACTGAGGACCAAGATGGGGGCTGCAAACTGAAGTCTCAGGGACAGAGAGATCTGGACAGAATCGCTGGACAGGTATCAGCTGCCAACAAGAAGCATTAGAACAAATGATGCTGGGTTAATAAATTGCCTCATTCGTAAAAAAAAAAAAAAAAAAAATCAAGTTCTCAACACAGAAAATATCTTCTAATTCTTTCAACATTTTGTTTGCTTCTATCAAACTTAGAAAAAGTAATTTGGCATCCACTCCAAGTCCAGTTAACCCTTTGTTTGATTCTTCACACTTGAGTAGGACACATCTTCCTTTGGTACATTTTCACTAGGGGCATTGTAGTCCAAAAGGATCAGGCCTGGGCTTGTCCTGGAGATCCTGGATGAGCCCTCAAGATGATACCTTATGGTGAACGATATCAGATTTGTGATCTCCAAAGATTTAGCTTCGGGACCAGGGACCCGGCTTGATCACTTCAGAGCTTTGGTGTAGCAAGAGTTTTATTAAACAATAAAAGGGACAGAGAAAGCTTCTTATAGAGACATCAGAAGGGGGATGGAGAGTGCCCCCTATCTTATATTTTTAAAAAATAACTTCTCTCTTTACATTCAAAATACATTCTTGCAGAAAAATGGAAGAATATAAGAAAAAAACCTGGGGTAATAATTTTTCTTTTTTTCCTTGTGTTTATGAAATACATACAGTTCTTCCATGTGCAAAATTGGGATAATACCATGCATACTATGTAAAATTTTTAATTTAGCAATATATTGTATTTTGTCATATTTTTAGATGCTATTATACATAATTTTTGGAGAAGGAAATGGTGATCCACTTCAGTATTCTTGCGTGGAAAATCCCATGGATAGAGGAGCTTGGTTGCCTACAGTGCATGGGGTCACAAAGAGTTGGGCACAAGTTAGCATACATACATGATTTTTAATGATTGCTTAGTATTCCTCCAATAGATGTATCACAATTTACTTACAAATGTGTCCCAACATTTTTTTCCTATTACATAAATATCAGTTCAGTTCAGTTCAGTGGCTCGGTTGTGTCTGACTCTGTGACCCCATGGACTGCAGCATGCCAGGCTTCCCTGTCTACCACCGACTCCTGGAGCTTGCTCAAACTCAAGTCCATTGAGTTGGTGATGCCATCCAACCATCTCATCCTCTGTCGTCCCCTTCTCCTGCCTTCAATCTTTCCCAGTATCAGGGGCTTTTCCAGTGAGTCAGTTCTTTGCATCAGGTGGCCAAAGTATTAGAGCTTCAGCTTCATCATAAATATAGCAAAGGACATCTGCAGTTGTGTACAGCTGCAGTTTATTCCTTAGGATAAATTTTAGAAGTGGATGTGTTCCCCAGAAAAGCTGTACCACCACATACAATTTTCATAGACAATTTTTGTTTTTCATAGCCAGCAGAAAAGTAAAAGAAATATCAGTATTTTATTGCTACTTTGTACAAGAACCCTGTGCTGTGCAGTTGTATACATTTAGTAATTTCCTGGGACAGGTCTCCTGATTGACAGTTGAGTTGTCCTTGAAAAGTCATTTGGCAGTTCTGATTTTCCATCTGCTTTCTCATTCAGTGGGCAAAGGGCATGTTTCCCTTAGCTGGCTATTCCTTCCCTATTTTGGAATCATATGAGGCCATTAATGCTTTATGATCCACATTTAGAGGGAGCAACCTATGAAGACCGGGAAAATTCTCAGGATACCAGTCAGAGTAGACTTTCTGGAGACAGCAAGTCTTGAGTGGGGAACTGAATTTTGGTAGAATCAAGTAAGCAGAAGAGGAGTAGATTGTATCACTTTGTGGGGACAAAGGCCTTTTGGAGCACTTTGCCATAAATCAGCATAATATAAAATCACTGGTACACAAAAGGAATAAAACTCAAAACTTAAGCCATTTTACCATTAGTGAACATAATGCCTTTTTGACCAACAGTTTACCCTCCTAAGAGGCCTCTTTTTAGAGTGTGGCCAGTATCAGCAATGTACCTTCTATGGACCAGACTGACCTACATTCTTTTTATTAAGGAATGAGATGACTATTTTAGGACATCAAGAACTGGGGACTAGAGAAAGGAATATTCTTTGTTTACTTTTATTCTCTATGAAAAGCATTGCCAAGCAACGTTCAGATATGACCTGTGTTGTTTTGCATCTTTTTACCCAGAATGGGGTTGTTCCGGCAGTTTGTGTTTTCTAGGCCCTCCCTGGCTGGAATGGCCCACCTGGTCTTAGGGAGTGAAGACAGAAGTCGTCTGCCTGCAGCTCTTGCCCGAGTCCTCTGAACACTATCAGGCTCCTTTGGTTACCACCCCTGGGGAACAAACTGGAGTGTTCCTCTGTTTGACATAGGCAGTCCCAGAGGGGAGGCTTTCTCTACCTTTAATGAGAATATTTAAAGGAGAAGTGAATATAATTTTTGGGCACAGAGAAATTATTGCAGAAATCTTGTACCCATTTCAAGTTTCATTGGTTACAAGTAGCATAGTCTTCTTAAAGGGTGCCCACTGACTTGGTGTGATGGTTTCCCACGAGAAGGAAGACATTATCGTTAACTGCATGAGGAGTGTTAGCAGGTGTTGGGTCCATCAAGCAGAACTTGTCCAAGACCTTCCAGCCCTCTTATGTCAGGTTAAGCCAGTAACTGAAGAAATACCAACGACTTTCACTTGAATTGGAAGAGCTCCAAAAATATTGCTCCTAGTGAGTCATGCAAGGGTGTAGTCAAAGAGCAATTCCAGACAGGTGGGAAGGAGAGGCTTTCGATCACTCCGCGGTTTGAGGTTCCCCTGGGATAAATAGCTAGATTGGGATCAACAGCAGTGGCACTCGGCCTTGCCTTCAGGACTTTGTGGGATCTGGGTCTCAAGAGTCAACAAGGTCCAGTCCTAAAGTTCCTGGTAAAGATGGCCCCTGGAGGGAAAAGTGGACACTTGTGGGCTGCTGACTGAGCAGTCTCCAATATAAGTCTTGTTTGTCTTTGAGGTCCTCTTGCTAAGGAGAGGACCGCTGTGCTCTTTATTCTTGCCGCAGCACTGGGCCCACAGTAGTTATCAACTTCTGCTGGAAGGATGAACGGATGGGTGAATGAGGCTAGGCGAGGGGCAGTCCTAGCCATTCTGCCTCTCTGGTCTTCACACATGTGTGTGCAGCGCTTTCCTTCAGCAATGAAGGATGATGTGACAGAGGCTGCTGTAGAGTACAGAGGCTATGAGCATGGGATTTGGGTCCTCATTCTAACTCTGTCCCTGGTTTGCAATGTAACCTCAGACTAGTTACTTGGTCATTGACTTCCATTTCCTCACATAGAAAATGGATATAATAAAATATTTCTCATTTGGGTCAGGAGAGTAAAATAAGATAATGCCCATCAAATAGTCAGCTAAGTCCCTGGTACACAGGAAGGGCACGGTGGGCCCATCTGGGATTCTCTGCATTTACAGATGCAATGCTTATCGACCTGGAGAGTTAGCCTGGGTGGTGGGGGAGATGGCACACATCATGTTTCTAGAGGGGATGACATGGTGGGTTCTGGACCCTGTGATGTCAGCCAGTATAGATCAAGATTATCATCATGTGTGTAGGCCACAAATCATGAGTGACAGGCTCTGAGGCCATATGTGTTGGGGTGAGGCCAGGGTTAGACTTGATGGAGTCACACTGAGCCAGAAGAACTGCTTGATTCCCTGGATAAGAGTTATAA